CAGAGTGGAAGACACCACATCACATTTCTTCACGTACAATCCCTGAATGGGGAATCCTAGCAGCCCGTTCTGATCCAAGAGCAGGGCTCTGGAAGTCTATGCGAATGGCACCCTGGCCATGTCCCTGGTAACACTCTTTGAGCAACAAGTGAGGAGGGACATTCCCCAGTCCATTCAATGACCACTTACTTCATGCCACACCTCTGATGCTGTCACCAGCCGAGCCGTCCACAGAGTTGCTATCTCGTCACTGGTACCAGCTCCCGTACAGATCCACACTGTGACGTCTTACAACGTCTCTTAGAGCCGATGTTTTCCGTGCTTTATGTGCCCATGGTCGTCTGAGAGCTGGTGAATGCTGACTCCGATTCAGTGAGTCCGGGCTGGGTGCTGAGAGTCCGCATCTCTAACACGCTCCCTGCTGATGGTAACGCTGCTGGTTTGTGAACACAAGGCTTTTGACGCCACCTCTCTCTGCACTGCCACTCTGTCAAGGGAGTGATCACAGAAGGGCTTTCTGTATCTCCCACTAAAGTACAAATCCCCAAAGATCTGAGGCCGCGATCTGATTGATCTTAACACCTCCTGTTGCACAGAGGACAGCTGGCTTCCATGGGCTCTGACAAACTCCCAAGTCAGTTGGCAGAGAGAGGTCGTGGCTGCTGCAATACCTGGCTGTTTGACGGCTCTGGGGGAGCAAGGGGGCTGGGCATGACTCCCATCCCTTAGAGAAGGAGGGTCCAGAACTTACCAGTCCATGGTACCAGGGTGCCCAGCGAGCTAAGAACTGGTTAATGAAGTGGGGAGGGGGGTGCCAAAGCTGGGTTAGCAGCAAGGAAGTGGCAGCTGCACCAAGCTTTCATATCTCATGCCCGGGTGCAAGGTCTTTCAATAAACAGCTGAGCCCTCACCCTCACCCCTGTACCAGGTCCTTGCCTCCGGGTGCACTTTCCAGATGTCCTCAAGGCGCCTGGGCACCATGCTCTATCAGCGACACAACAGCTGGGCAATCTTCAGAAAGTAAGCATGGTTCCTTCATTCCTCTGCGCAAAACTCCCACATTCCACGCCTCTCAGGATACAATACAAACTCTAGGAGCCCTGCAGAGCCTGGGTCACTCACCCAGTCCCCAGGTGGTCTCCATCACTGCCCAGGCTCAGGAAGCCTCAGCGCCTTTGACTTCCTGTCTATTCAAAGTCATCCCCACCTGAGGGCCTAGACAATAGTTGTTTTCCTTCCAGTGTTGTCACTGCTTGGTGCTCAATGAAATCTGGTCAGTTCAATGGCAGGGTTTAAAAAGCAAAGTGACTCCAAAAGGAGGTAGGACCTCTGATTTTGTGGGTTAATCTGGGTTTTTCTCTTCATTCTCACCCAGATGAGGTCTAGAACAGTCTACCACCTTCAGGTTACAAAGAGAGGACTGAAGCTCAGAGGCAAGATGGGACTTACTCAAAACCATCAGATGGGGTGGGGGTGGAGGCAGTTATCCAAGGATGGGTCTAGAGGTGGTGACCTGGACTCACGAGAAGGAAGTTTAATCTTTATTTTAACATGCTGTGTTTGATGATACGTACACTGTCCTACTAATGAAATTCCTCTTCTCTACCTCATTTTTAACTTTTTTTTGGTTGTGCATAGAAAGGCATAGGCAATCCTGGACCTCTCTTTCATTTGTGTTACCTTATTTTCCTTTGTAATAAAACATTCCTTCTTAAGCCAGAAGATGGTGATTTGTAATTTATGGATTTCTCTCTCCAAATTACAACCAGAGCCTAATTTTAAAAATCAAATTGGCTTCATCTAATTAAATTTGGAAATTGCCTCATAAACACATACTTTGTTATCAATGTCTTTAAAAGTATGGCCTCCAATTTACTGTCGGGGGCTGGACTGGGTTGAGCCCGGCATGGAGGGGACTAACTCTGCTCAGGAGGGCATAACTCTTCCATCAACTACCAGACCTTCCTCAAGCCTACTGCTTTCTACAGCCATGCTTCTCAACCTTTAATGCCCACAGGAAACACTCAGAGTCTCACTAAAGCAAAATTCTGATTCAAATGCCTGAGATGTGCATTTCTAACCAGCTCGGGGATGCTGATGCTGCTACTCTGCAGACCACACCGAGTTGCAGCAAGGACAAGACATCTGCACCCGAGTTCAGGAGACATGGATTTGCCATCATGGCTACATGACCTGGGTCTTTTCACTTTACCTCTCTGCCCTTCAATCTCCTCATTTTTATGTCATGATAACAGCTAACATTCATATTATTATTTCTAAATGCCAAACACCATGCTAAATGCATAATTAGGCCCTCACAGAAATCCTACAAAATAGCTTTTATAATGATCCTGATTTTTTCAGATGAGAGATCTGAGGTTTTGAGAGGTTCCCTGATGTATACCAGGTCACATGGCAAGTAAATATCAGGGCTGGGATTCAGATCCAGGCTACCTGACCTCAACAGTCAACAAGCTTACCTCCAGGGACTAATTACTTTGTCGTACACATAATCATAGTCATGTTTATGCTCCAGATACAATGGTTGAAGCACACAACTTCCTTAGCTCCCGTCAAGACATCCTCTGCAAATGTTGCATCAGGAGAGTCTAAAATGTTCACAAACAAGCTGTCCAGCTACAATTTTCTGTTGTTGGTTCACAGCCCAGTGGCAGCCAAACATGTATGTGAAGGTATCTCACCACAGCTGTCTTCAGTAGAGTTCACTGGGGAATGCCAACATGCCTGGCATCTGGTCTTGGAAAATTCACAAAGTACCGGGTTCACACAGCACAAAGGGTGTATCACTGCACTCTGTGTGCATCTTTGTGCAGACAACGATGCCTCAACTTCAGGAGCTACTGCTCAGAAAGAGTCTTTCACCCAGGTTATACCAGGTTCCCTCCACGGATTTCTTTCTTTTTATTAGGCATAATCCCACGAGAGGAAAAATGTATTACTACCAAGGAAGAGGAAAAATGTATTACTACCAAGGAAGAAGTCTGCGGAAAGATACGGCTCCGCCTACAGAAGCTCAAGTTCTCTTCCAAACGGAGGAAGGCACAAGGACCAGGGTCTTCTGTCATCAACCCAAGGCACAATGAGAAAAACTAAGGAAACTGTCAGGAGTTGGTGATAAATTCATTCCATTGGAAGGCCTGCCTTTTATTCTGAAATTATGCTTTGTATTTTTTGGAATTGTGACTTTCTCTTTTTTAAAAAAGGATGCTAATGAAAGATGATGAAGTGCCCCCTGGTGGTCCCTGAAATCTTTTGAATTGTTACTGGCCTGTCAATCTTTAATATCTGGCATAGAGAGTGTTTGACATAACAGTACCCAGTAGCTTAACTCCTTTCCCTTTGTTTCACAGGGAACAGGAGGCCTCACACCACCTCTATTTCATGTGTGTGTGTGTGCGTGTGCATGTGTGTGTGCTCTGCTTTACAAAGCACAGCACATAGCTTTGAAATGACTGGATGTCATTTAAATCCCCAGTCCCTCTCTTCCCTGACTGGTGTGAGGATCTCCCCTGCTCTTACAGCAGCCCCAGGAAGGAAGGGGTTCCATGCATTTGGCCCCAGAAGTCCACAACTCATGGGGCTGGATCTCCATTTCCTCCTGTATGCTGATCCTGAGAGCTGCCCCAAGCCCTTGATAATGTCTCAGATGGAGATGCTGGCTCTTCTTCTGCGGAATGCTAGCTGCAGCAAAACAAGGTGTTTCTCTAGCACCTTGCACATACTGAGTAATTCTCTCCATGCTCTGAGAGCTCTAAAGACCACTCCTGTCTCCCTAGAGAGCCTATGTATCCTTCGGATTAATCCTGACTATTTCTCCCTCATCAAAAGTTGACTTTGCTCTGCCCGCAGAGATCATTCTCCCTTCCTGAAGGGATATCCTCCCCGAGCCCCTCTCTGCAGTGAATGTTTCTACAGCAGCAATCAGGGACCGAGGCCCCGGGGTTCCAGTTGGGGATGTCTGTGCCTTTTCCCTCCTTAGATCCTGAAGCATCGATTATCACTCTCATTTTACAGATAAGGAAACTGAGTCTTGGAAGAGGAGGACCTTGCCTAAGGCAACTGGAGACTATGGTGGGGCTCCTAAGACATCAGATTACACCTTTCCAGCTTAGCACCCACGCCCTTCCCTCTGCATTGCTGTATTTTTCTGTTTTATCCAACATTTCGATCTCAAGGTGTTTCAACACACAAGAGCTAGCAGGAGAATCAATCTTATCCATAGCCTAACACATGAATCTTAGCTATATCACCTTTCTCAGATTTCTTATTCTTGTTTTTGCTTTAGAATGGACTTCTATACAATGTTTTAGAACACTATGTTATAACAGCTTGATGGGAACATTCCTGCTTGACTGGACCCTGTCCCACCTTATCGTGATGAGACCCTGTTAACGCTGGCAGATAGCTCGGACACCATCACCTGGGTGACAATAAACTGTCCCTTAGGCATAGACCAATTTTAAGCTCTTGTACCGTAAAGAAGAAAATAGTACTGGGACTATTGCCAAAGCCCAGGGACTGATGTGGGTGGGTGGGGTGGGCACTGTGTGAGTCCCCAAATGGACTTTCACTACCCTTGGCCAGGCCTGAGTCTTTTCTTCTAGATGGCAACATTCTCACTCCTTGAGTTCTGGGGTGACACATTCTTATCCTTATAACCTCAGTGCATGGTATGAATGCGCCCAGAGTTCCTGAATTCACGGTAAAGCATTGCCATGTCTATTTGAGCTTTAGAGAAGCAGGTACTTCTACTAAGCGCTTCCTCTCTGACCAGGATCTTACACACATCATTTCACTTCAGCCAGTAGAGCTGTCGGCCCTTGTTTCCCCCACAACCCCCTGCCCCATTCTAGCATCAGAAGGATTTTGGTCAGCTCTGTCTCACTTTTTCATGCTCAACAGAATAGGTGCTCACCAACTCTGGGCTGAGTGAACAGAATGAAGCTGAGCCAACTGGTGCAGCCCCAGGGCCTCCTTACCTCGTACAGTGTGATGACCCCGTTGGTCTCATTGGGAGGTTTCCACTGAATGTACATCTTCTCCTCGAAAGGCCCTCCTTGGATGGATTCCAGAGGAACAGCTCCTGGCACTACAGAAGGGAAAATATGCAAACTCAATGTCACCTTCCATGGGACCTCTCCAGCTCCATGATCAACAACAAAGGTTGGCAAAGTTTGACAAGAACCAGATAGTGCCTATTTTAGGTTTGATGGTCCATCCCACCTTGGGAAGAACCATTCAACCCTGCCACGGAGGCCCAGACATGGCCAGACACAATCCACCAATGAATGTATGTGGCTATGTTCCAACACAACTTTATTCCCGAAAGCAGGCAAAGGGCTGGATTTGGCCAGACACCCTGGTTTCCCAATGCCTTTTCACCTGTAGACTGATCAAGTCTCTCTCTGAATTGAACCTGATTGGAATAGGAGGGTGCCAGCCACCTTGACCTTGCCAGGAGGTGGGAACCTGGAATTAGGCATTTGCTTTGGAAATGGAATTTGAGGAAGGCAAAGACAGCTTTGTCATCTTTTTCTATCATTTCCCTAATTCTTCCAAGTTTTCTCCAATTTCAGAAAGTACTTGCTCAGGTTCCTAATTCCTGAATCCACAGAAAGGAAGTTCCTTGAATCTCAATCCAATAGGAAGAAGCTTGCTTGGATCCCAGAAGGTGGTTAGTTTGTCTCCCATGCCTGGTATAAGGTACAGGCTAATGCACTACTTCTTGGTTAGATGAGTCAGTGAATGGATGACCTTTGCCATCTCTGAACACAACCTCTCCTGGGGCTGCTTCTGCAACAGGCCTGGTTTCTTAACAGCACCATCTTGCTGGATCCCCGCATCCCACAACTGTCTGGAAGATTCTGAGCCAGAAAACAAGCGATCACCAAAATGTTCAGGTGTAACTCCCATAGAGATCATGAATCCTTGGACAGCATTACTGGACCTATTTATAGTTTCAGTTTTATAAAAGCAGGTACTTTTCCTAAGAACTTACTCTTTGATCAGAATTTTACATACATTATTTCATTTAAGCCACAAAATAGCTCGGCCCAGTATGTATTATCTTCTTTGTGCAATAAGGGAACTGAGACTCAAAGAATTAAATAACTTGCTCAAGGTCATATGGCTCTTAAGTTGTAAAGAGGGAATGGAACACCTGTCTATGAGCTTCAAAGCATATACTCTTAATCATCATGCCATGCCTCTAGATATAGCTTGGCCATATGTTACAACACATTCCCCATTGTTAAATTAAAATACGTTTTTCTCTTTATGGACATGACACATAGATTTGTTGAATATTAAGAATATACCAAAAGGTTAAAAAAGAAAAAAAGTCACTCATAATCCCCATATCCAAAGATATTTTTTCCAGTATGTTAGGCATATAAAATACACATACAAATATCATGGTTTTAAACATTTTAACACTTTCTGTGTATGTTGTATCGTGGCCGTCACTAAACAAACCACAGAGTTTATTAAAAAAAATCCTTAATTGCTCTTTGAGGCCATGCATTTTTATTGGCTGCTTATAAGGAAACAAGCCCTGTCATATTCAACAGTCCTTTATTACTGAACATTAAAGTTGGTTTGAATTCTTCATGATTATGGGTAATGTTGGAGTAAGCATTTTTATATATAAATATTTGCATGCAACTCTGCTGCTGATGTCCCGAACATAAATTCTTGGAAATTAGTTTACTGGGCTTAAGTAGTTGAACTATTTTATTTTTAAGACTTTCTGACACAACTTGCCAAATTGCCTTTTTGAGAGTTTGTAGGATTTTGAACTCCTCAACAGAAGACTATGGTTAGTCCTAATCCTTGCCAACACTATTTAAAAAATTAAGTGCCTCTGTGTGTGTGTGTGTGTGTGTGTCTTTTTTAGAATACTGGAGCGTGCAGATTTTTGTCAGTTTAATTAGCCATTTGCATTGAGTCTTTTATGAACATGCTCGCCAAACCCTGTGCTCGTTTTCCCATATGGCTCTTCATTTTTTGTTCATCTTTGTCTTATGGGCTTATAACTGTAACCTCCTTTTCAGAACATTAACTTTTTTGCATGGGTTACAGTTTTTTTCCCACCTTTTCATTTACTTTCTAAATCTTTTAGGTGTGTAGAAATTTTTAATTTATCCAATATCTTACTGTTTTTTCCTGTTCACTCTTCCCTACACAAATATTGATTATTTCATATGGTCATTAGACTGTGATAGACACGAGAGATGCACCGATAACTAAGAGAGATGTAGCCAAATGCTTGATAAAGCTTGTATTCTAGAAATAGACACATACATTAAATAAGTACATCATTAATAAATTCATTGAGGCTGTAATCAGGACTTTGAGTTAAAGGCACATGGTACTAGGAAAATATCAGAGAAAATCTCATCTGGCAAGTCAGGATACTGAGCAGCAAATAAGCTAGAGTTGATGGATATGCGGAAGTTACTAGGGAAAAGGGGAAATGTGTTAGAGCATGGTGGACAGCTTTATGGAGTCAGGGAGAGAAGAAGAAAGAAAAATCATTTAGCAGGCTGCTTATGGTCATTCTGAAGAGGGATAGTGGCTTGGACCAGTGTCAGGGTGCAGAAGAGAAACGACTGTGCAGAAGATTTGGGAATGCTAAACTAGCATGACTTGGTGGTGATGGATAAGGGTGAAGAAAGGAAGGGTTGTGTCATGACGGACCCCAGCCCTTAATTCTTACGTAACTGGGGAATCAGCGCTAAGGCTCACGCAGATGGAGCCTCATGGCGTGACCAGCTCTGGAGAGTTGGTGAGCTCAGTTTTTCTCATACTTCTTTTGATGTGTACACAGAATATCCAAATGGTGTTTTTAAGTACCAGTCGGATATCCAAGCTCTTACAGCCAAAGTAGAGAGCAAAGGGAAAAATGCAGGTGTTAGAATAAGTTCATAGGAAATTTGATCTTAACAATGAGGAGGAAAACAAATGGTGAAACTCAGAGACAGAGAGGCACAAGGCTAACAAGGAAGGTGAGTGGTCAGTGTGCTATCCAAGACAGGACCCAGGCTAAAGAAGGGACTGATCAGCAGGAGTCAGAAAAGACACAGCTTTAAACTTGCTTCTTGAATTTAAGATCCTCAAGGGTACTTGTGACTCAAGCAAGAGTAATTTAGGGGGCCGGTGCCAAGGCTCACTTGGTTAATCCTCTGCCTGCAGTGCCGGCATCCAAAATGGGTGCCGGGTTCCAGTCCTGGTTGCTCCTCTTCCAGCCCAGCTCTCTGCTGTGGCCTGGGAGGGCGGTGGAGGATGGTCCAGGTGCTTGGGCCCTGCACCCCATGGGAGACCAGGAGGAAGCACTTGGCTCCTGGCTTTGGATCAGTGCAGCACTGGCCGTGGTGGCAATTTGGCAATTTGGGGAGTGAACCAACGGAAGGAAGGCCTTTCTCCCTCCCTCTCTCTCTCTCTCTCTCTCTCTCTCTAACTCTGCCTGTCAAAAAATAAATAAATAAACAAGGAGTAATTTAGGAGAATGTTGGTGTCACAAATACATGATTTGGTCTGTGAAAGGGAGAGGAATGCAAAAATAGTCAGGAAGAAGCACGGAGTCAAAGCAGTGCCCCTTTCTGAAGATGGGGGAGCTCAGAGCATGATCAAGGCAATGAGGGAAAAACCTAAATACAGGCCACAGACAGAAAGGTGTCCTGACAGTTCTCTTTGCTTGAAAAGGAGAGTGAAATAATTTGCGGGAAGTGTAGCGGAGGCCGAGTTACGTCAGGAACCTGGGGAGAGTGAGAAGCTTCAATCACCGAGAAGTGCAAAGTAAGCCACAGAGAGAGGGACAGGTTCTATCCATCCACCCGAGTCTATCAAATGGAGACTGTGATGGCGAAGCTCAAGGTAGTAGGACTAGGCCACCGGGTCTTTCCAACCCATCTCAGATAAACAGGAAAAAAAATGAGTGATTATTTAGTTATTTATTCTATGATTTATTCCCATTTTTTTCTTTTCACACCTCGCACTTTAATCCACCCAGAATTTATTTTGTATAAAGATGTACACAGTAGAAATCTAACTATAGTTCTTTATAATTTTTTAAGAAAATTAATTGACCAGTAAAGCCATTCCTCAATGATTTAAAATGCCATCTTACCACATGTTAAATTTATTTTATATCCTGCCATATGTTGTACGGCTTTCTTCTGTTCTCTTTTACTGTATCACAGCTCCTACTGTGACAGTCTCTATTGTGTTGAGATGACATGTTTTAACACTTGGTAGAACAAGCCTTTCCTTTATTAGTCGTCTTTGCAAAGTTTTCTGGGATCTCAATACTCATTTACTCTTCCAGAAGAACTGCAGAATAATTTTACAAAATGTCAACAATTCCTTCCACTTCTATTCTTTTCTTCTGGGGGCAAAGGATACCTCTTTATGACAATGAGTTCTTCCACACAGCAATACTGTACAAATCCTCATTTATTAATACTCCTTTGATGTCTGTCAGTTAAAAACATGGTTTCTTTTTGCTTCTTAAAAATTGTATTCCTAGGACTCTATTACTTTGTTCCTACTGGTTTTGCATTACATTAAAAGTTTCTCTTATAGTGTTTTATATTACATTAAAAAGCATATAACATATAAAGAATAAATACAAAATGAAAAATACTTCCACTCTTCTCTGAGAAATAAAAAAGTCATTGTACCATGAAGCACCCTATTTGCCCACCACTTCTCCCTTCCCCATAAAAAAAAAGTCAGGTGTTTCCCATACGTTTATGTCAATGATTCTCTTTTTGGATATATATACATATATATATAATATTTATCCCAATACAATGTACATTCAGGTTTTTTGTAAGATTTGTTATTTGTCCCTCAACATCATTTGGAGCTTCATCCATGTTGATGTACATAGCTGCACATTATGCATTTCAGTTTCAGGAATGTAATGCTATTTATTTCATCATTCTGCTATATGGCTATCAGGGTAGTTTCCAGATGGAAATATATAAGCATATGGCTCAGATGAATATTTTTGTACATTTGGTTGAGCATATATAAGATTTCACTAGGTGATACTTAGGAAGGGGCTAAGTAAATTGAAGGGCATAT